CAAGATATGTTGATAATTGTTCTCATACAGAAAACCCAAGATGACGCTTTACAGATTCTTGATGATTTTAATAACCTTCATCCTTACATCTCTTTTACATTGGAACCAAAATCTGACAATAAGTTAAACTTCTTGGATATGACTACATCTCGTAATGAAGATTCTCTACAATATTTACAGAAAAACTTTCCAAAGATATCTTGTTATACATCCAATCATCCAACCCAACATAAAATGGCTGCTTTCAATAGTTATATTCATAGGTTACTTAAATTTCCAATTTTTAATAATAACTTTAATTCAGAACCTAATACTTTCAAGCAAATTGCTTTTAATAATTTTTTATGATCCATAAGCTTCTAAATAGAGCTAAACTCAAAATTGCAGAACAGCTTGCATATTCATCACAATGTTTTCTTTAATCTAATGCTTCAAACAACATTAGATATTTCTCTTTTACTTATATTAGCAATATTTCCAATAAAATATCTAAACTTTTTACTTCTACAATTGAAAATATCAAAATTTCCTTCAAGTCACAAACACTTTAAAAAACAGCTAAAAAACTTTGAACTCCTTTTCTGAAAAGTTGTGATTATAGAGTAGATAAACATATGCATACCTAATGGATTTTGACAAGAGCTATGACCTTGTAAATAACAGGTAAACTTGTGTACTAAATCGGCATGACTCATAGCTCTTGTCAAAATCCATTACCTTTAATATTGGCTTTTTTGCACAGATACCTTATAAAGGGCAACTTTTTGAGTTACAATATGTAATAGTTGTGTCCAGTGACCTAATGATGACCAGGAAATTGTAGTGGTCTAAACCAGTGGACTAAAGCTAAATAATTTATTTCACAATTCATTTCTTCAACCTTATTTAAAAATACAGTAGACTCCCTTTTATAACGAGAACTGAAATGGCAGACTAATTATCTCGTTATAAGCCGATCTAAACCTCAAAGAACTGAAGTAACCGACATCATGGAAAAAATAGCGACATTGAGATGGCAATGGGTAGCACATATAGCAAGAAAACCGACAGATGGTCTCATAAAGTTACATTCTGGAGACCTCGAGAAACAGAAAAAAGCGTGAGAAGACCCAAAAAGAGATGGATAGACGATATAACAGCTCTAGCTGGAAAGCAGTGGATGAGAATTAAGATAGGGAAACGTAGACGCAATTGGAGGAGGCCTATGTCTAACCATGGATAAAAACCATGTCCAACCATGATAAATGAAATAAACCAAATGAACAAACAACAATAATACTGTGCATACATATGAATATGTAGTTTTCTAAAACATTAACTTCCTAAAGTGAAGCCATTCCGTGCAATATCAGATGCTAAATATTGTTTGAATGACATTTTTGAGAAAAAGTTGTTTACTTTTATTATCAATGAAATACGTTAAAACAAAAAATCTGTGTTCTGTAAATTTGTATAAAGCGTATTTTCAAGGATAGCATAAACTATTGCTTCTGAAATTGGAAGAAGTCTGTCATTTTTGACTGCTTTACATTTTCCATTATTCTATCTATCATATTTTCTAAAGATGAAACAGTTAAATAAATTTTCTAATAACGTTTAAAGCACTTCACATTTTGTCTATTAGGTCCTTCGTATTATTAGGTGCGAATGGCAACCCCCTACAATGACACTTGAACACGTGAATCATAAATTGTAAATTTCCGAAGAAATTTATTGCGGGCGGCAGTTAAAAAGTGTATTTATTTATAGCCACGGCCAGGCCAAAAACGTAAAAAACACGTTTTTCGATCTCATTTTCTGTCGTTATAACCAAATTGGCCTCGCTATAGAGGGTTATAGGTCAATAGAAATTTCACGGGACATCTAATGTACTTCGCTATAAGCGAAACATCGTAATAACCGTGTTCGTTATAGACAAAGTATACTGTATCTTCATTGGTTACATCATTATTAAGACATAGTGCAGACAAAGTAATTTTATGAAATAATTGCCAATTTAAACCTAACCTAAAATTGCATAATAATTGATTATTTAGATAAGTTATATAAGTGGAATTTTTAAACTTTTCTGGTACACAAACTTAAATTGATTTGGTTTTATAAATATCAATGAGGACCAAAATCATGGTAAAGTAAAGACTGGAACTGAATATTGATGATTGCACGGGGTCGAAACGAAAGGAATGACCTTTTCAATGAAATAATAATAACGTAACTCTAATATAGATATATAGGTCAATTGCGAACTAAATTAAAATAAATTAGTAAAGTTAAATGTACTTTTAAAATAGAACATTAAAAAGTTTAGACATTTTATCGTGAAAATTTATTTTAATATATAAAATAATTTGATGATATGTCATGTACCGCTAAACTTATCATAAAATAAATTATAATAATATTCTGCGGTATTTACATTAAGCGCATCAGCTTTTAGGTTGCAATTAAATAAATTAAGTGTCTAGTAAATAACATTAGATTCGCATTAAAGTAGTATGCGCAGATGGGTTTTGAATTTAAACTTCTCACGGAAATTCTTATGCAGTTTCCAACAAGAAATTAAAACTCTAACTGCGGTAGAATATACCAATCTATTCAGTGGTGTCATGACAAAATTAGCAGTGCCGGAACGCACTTTCCTTTATTTTAACATTTCTATTTGTTTTACAAAAATTTACGGAAATTTACAAAAACTGAACAAATGGATTTTCTTCTTTTGGAGAAGGTTTTGCCGCGCGTGTCCAAGTGTCATCGGCTGTGCGGTGTCACATAGGGTTCCACATTTCATTTGTTTATACTTGGTTCATATTGTTTTATAAACATAAAGCTTGAAACATGTCTGGTTAAGAGTCTAGTTCGCAAATCAATTATTATCTCGTTCATAAGCCTCGATCACATTCTGACAAACTACATGGAATCAGTTTAGTGCAGCTCAACATTGGAATGATATTTTTTGGTACTCTTAAAGGTGAATTGGCCTGGATATAATCTCGAAAGCAATTTGTCATTTTGGTGTTAAGCTTAAACCTTTTGCAAAGATTTTAAATTTCTTCTTCCCCATCTCGTACTGATTTGTTAGTTGGGTACTGATCAGTTTCTCGTACTTCAAAATCAGATAGAAAAGAATCATATTGTTGCTTACAGTTTGAAGAGGCGCTTGATGTTCACTAATGGCTGGATTTAGTAGTAAACATGCTTCTAGTAAAATGGTTTACTACACTTGTTATCAGTTGTTTGTGGTTGATGGTCGCAATTTTTTAGATTGTTTGTAATGTGAACATTACAGTGAACATTACCTCAAGTCTCTTGGCTCCAGGCTTTTCTTTCAGAGTTTAAAAAAATCCAATGCTTTTTCTGATAAATTAATTAGCATAAACAACAGTAGTTTCTCCTAAGAGAGAATAACTCTCCTAAATACAGCATACAAGATATTATCAAATATTTTGCACGAGAGATTAAAGCCTGATACTGAAATGTTTCTAGGGGAATATCAGGCAGGATTCAGGCCTGGACGTTCAACCATTAACCAGATCTTTACATTACGACAGATCCTCGAAAAAGCGCAAGAGTTTAACATAGATATGTATCATATTTTTGTCGATTTTAAAGCGGCATATGACAGTGTCTTAAGACCAAGTCTTTACAACGCTATGAATGAGTTAGGAATTCCAAAAAACTCATATGTTTGATAAAAGTGACAATGGCGAAGATGCTATCAGCAGTAAAAATTCAAAACGACTCGTCAACCCCATTTTAAATACATAGGGGGTTAAGGCAGGGAGATGCGCTGGCGTGTCAGCTTTTTAATGTCGCCTTAGAAAAAGTTGTACGAGACGGTAATTTAGATAGCAGGGGAACAATATTTAATAGATCAGTCCAAATTCTAGCATATGCAGACGACGTGGACATTATAACAAGAACTAGGGCGAGAACTGCGGAAATCCTAACCGAGCTTGTAGCAGCAGCAGAACGAATGGGGTTACATATAAATTAAAATAAAACCAAATTCATCGCGACTAACATGAACACAAGAGCTGGAAATGTTGACACAAATTTAATCATCAATGACCAAAACTTCGAAGCATTCAATGAGTTCATATATCTAGGGACATCGGTTAACCCCAATAATAATACATCTGAGGAAATAAAAAGGTGAATAATAATTGCAAACAGTTGTTATTATGGTCTTTCAAAGTACTTAGCTAACAAACGCCTGTCTCAAAAAACTCGTATAAGGCTGCATAGAACACTGATAGTCCCCGTTCTCACATACGGATCAGAGGCATGGACGCTAACGAAAACAGATGAATCCGCTCTATCCATTTTTGAAAGAAAGGTGCTACGCAAGATATTTGGAGCGGTCTGTGAGAACGGAATATGGAGGCGTAGATATAACTTCGAACTGCAGAATATCTACAAGCATACGTTTGGTGGTAAAGATATTACCACTATAATTAAGCGAAACCGCCTGCAGTGGGCAGGACATGTAGCCCGGGCCCCTGAATCGAACATGATAAAAAAGATTCTAACAGCGCAACCTGTGGGAATGAGACGACGGGGTAGACCAAAGCTGAGGTGGATGGATGGGGTAACACAAGATGCGGAGAAGATCGGATTCAGCAACTGGAAAGTTCAAGCAAATGACAGAACAGAATGGCGTAGAAAGCTTGAGAAGGTCGAGGCCCTCTAAGGGCTGTAGCACCAAGATGATGATAACAGTAGTTTCTTTGTTTTGCAAAGCCTCTGAAAGCATCGAAAGTTCTGCCAAAATATCATACGTAATCGCTAAATTTACCATAAACTGTAATGATGAAAATTGCCTTGATAGGCCACAGTACATAGATCTTTTTTCTTCTCTCACAGTAGAAGTTCTCACAATAGAACTTCTGTTCTTGTCTGCCTTCGTCTTTTTAAAGTGGTTCTAAATGGTAAAGTAATCATACCACACAGCTGAAACTGCACAATAAGAACTTGCAACTTATCGAGTCCCTAAAACTTTTTCAATTTTTTGGAGTTGTTGTGTCAGCTTTAAGGTACACTTGTAGAATTCCCGTTGGTTTTCTTAATGATTTACTGTAGATGGAGTATATTCTATCCATAAATATTTGAAAATGATTTGCTGCTTCAACTTCATCAATTGCATCACTTAAGGCTAGCTCTAATATACCATTTATGCAATACCAAACAATAATATCTACATACATCTCAAACTATCTTTCAGGTACACCTGATTTTTTATTCAACATTAAGCTGGCACAGTCACTTGCAAATGAAATAAAATTTTCTTTCAAGTTATCATCATCCAATCCACTCATTTTCAAACAGTTTAACAAACTTTTTAACAATTACCTGAGATGTTTGACTACTCAGTTTAATCAACTCTAAGAATAGTTTTACAGAGCGTTTTCTATAATGCGTGTTTTTTTTTACAAAACCTAAATCCTCTGTTTATTTTTTTATTTTTTTAACCAAAGCCGGAACGGCGTTCCGGCGCATTCGTTTACAAATAGAACCAATGGTGTCATGGTGCCATGATGCCACTGATTCTATTTGTAAACTAAAAGTCAATTATACGTAAAAGGTAACAGTGTTTAATTCGAATAAATATTATGTATATATTCATAAATCTATATATATTCTTAAAAAATAAAAGGCAATGCAAAATATTAATATTAGGCTCTTTATTAATACTTCGAAATAATTACTTTTTACACTCATTTAAATTTACACTTTATAACAAATCTCAATAATTTCATTACCAGATCAACTTCGATCACATTTCTAAATTTAATGCCTATAAAGAACATTGTAAGAGTTTTGATACACTTTTATTAAGTAACTTTATACAAATTACAGTAAATAAGTCGACAATATAGACAATATAGTAAAGTCTTTACAGCACCGTTTTATCATTATTATTTTATATGTGCAGTCTGTAGTGAGAACGTTAAGAAACAGCAATATAGTCTAGAAATAAAAACTGTCTACTTTTGCATAATAAATATATTTCTCAGTCAATAATATACATATTTTCAAAATTAATAATACACATACGAAGCGGCGTATGGTGAATATACAGAATATGGATACACAGCGGGAGCTACATAACTGGAATAGGCAAGCGGTGCATCGACGTATGCAGAAGAGTAGGCAACTACAGGAGCTTCAACAAACGGAGCATCTAAGAACTGTGCTTTTGGATCAGCTTTTGGTACTGGCTTTGGTTCAGGTGCTGGTGCAGCAGTGGAGAAAGCCAAAAGAGCAACAACAAGGACCTAAAACAAGTAAAAAAAAAATGTTAAGTTTATGCACTTTATACTATATTTTGTAAAATAATATTTTATTTATAGTTTTAATAGGCTCAATGACACAGTTTTTACTTCTGATGTCAAACTGAACTTTTTCCACTTTTTAAAAGTTTTGATCCTGTCTGCTGACATCGCCAACAGGCTACGGAATCAAAATGTAAATGGAGAAGGCCAAACAGATATAGACTTCTTCTGGACCAGAATAAAGGAAGACATTGGAGTAGCAGCGAAAGAGTAAATAGGAACAAGAATTTGTGACCGCAAAAATCATTGGTTTAACGATAAATGCAAAAATGCAGCAAAAGAAAAATATAAAGTCTACTTTAGAAGTCTAGAGAATGACCAGATAAAGGGAGGAGAAGAAAAGAGGATACACAAAAGAAAAAAAAACAAAACCACCTAAACTAAGAACTTAAATATGTAGAAAAGTTCAACAGAGAGAAACAATTTAGAGCATTTTATAATAAAGTTAATATCAACAGAAAATAATTGAAGGTAACCTCATGACAACGCAGAAGTCAGAATGGCAACCTATTAACAACAAGCAAAGATGTATTGAATAGATGGGTGGATTACTTTAACCAAGCACTTAATATAGAGAAAGAAGAATAAAACCTAGAAGACAAAATAGATGAGGTAAGGGAAACAGACGAGAAGGAAGTGGAACCCCCAACGATTCTTGAAGTTTAAGATGCAGTTAAAAAGCTCGCCACAACAAATCACGCGGAATAGATAATCTCCTAGATAAACTAAAAAAGTGGCCATGTTACCATAATGGCACTACAGCAGCTTATAAAAGAAATATCGACTTTTCCCAATGATTGGGACATTTTATGGGTGGTAAATCGACATCTTATCAGATTGCAACTCTGAAACAAATTTTGGAAAAAACACTGGAATATGGCATTGACACTCATCACATATTTATAGACTACAAAGCAGCCTACGACTCTGTGAATAGAAGAGAAATGTTCAAAGCAATGAAAGAGCTGGGAATACCAAACAAATAACAAGTTGCGCCCGGGAAACCCTGTCTTCTGTATACTGTATAATGTGGCTCTGGAAAAAGTAATATGTATGTCAAAAATTACAACCACTGGTTCAATATATAATAAATCAGTGCTAATCCTGGCCTATGGTGATGTTATCAATATTGTTGTGAGAACGGAAAACGCTGTACCAGAGGCGTATATAGAATTAAAAGAATTCAGAAGGAGGAAAGTGATGTGTTGTGTGACAGATAAAACTAAAAGAAAAATTCTGTGAACCTAACAGAAGACAGAAGAAGGGGGGGTAATAATCAGAATCTCATATTATTTATTTGGGCGAATGTTGGGAATTTGGGAATGTTGATTTGATTATTGGGTAGTTAAAAAAAAATAAAAAAGAACAGTGAGTGTATTTGGGAAAAATAAAATATCTTATATGCATGATGCAATTGAGATACAAAAATGTGTAACAGGATACAATTAAAAATGAAGTAGTCTATATTAGAGATTGTAAAGGATGGTCTAGGTACTAGTTAATGTAAAAATATGAGAACTTAGGTTAGGCTAATTTAGACATGCTCAGCGTCAAAATTTTAATCAATAAATACAAAGAATTGTTAAATTACAAGTTTTTGCAAGGGGTAGGAGAGCATGATCAAAGTGGACCCTGTGGAAGATGCTTAAACGAACAAGTCGGTAAAGTCATCATCATCATCACAGTCATTAACATCTTAGTAGATGTGTTGTGGTTCATAATTGGGCTTCAGCAGCTCGGACAGTTTGATTGATAATATTTCTCCACTTCTCGCGGTCATCAGTTATATGTATTGCCTCAGTATACTGTTTATTGAGAAGCTTTTTAGCAATGTCCGCCCATCGCTGTGGAGATCTTTTGCGTTGGCGTTGAGTCTGAGGCCTTCCTTGGACCACCAACCGCTCCATTTTGTGATCATTCGATGGATATGGCAAAAGAACTTTAAAATTCTAGAGTAAACGGTACTGGAGAGACGCTGATCCGGTTTAATTTCATCCCGAACCGAGATATTTGTACGGCGAGCCGTCCATGGAATTCGAAGCAGACGTCTCCATGTCCACATTTCAAAGGCGTCTATACGTCGTCGATCTGATTCTTTGACTGTCCATGTCTCGCATGCATAGTAAAATATGGAAAAGACCAGAGTTGAAACGAGTCTCTTTTTGTTTGTCATAGTAATGTGACGATCACGCCAGACCCCGTTTAGTTCACTCATTGCTGCTCTTGCTAGTTGAATGTGTCTTCTAATTTCGGATTCACAACTGCCTGTGTTGTTAGCTAGAGCTCCAAGATATATCATAGATGAGACTACCTCGCATCCCGAAATAGTTTGGGTTTCAGGAAACTGTTGTTGGCGATCAATAACCATGATTTTGGTTTTGTTGTCGTTAACCATGAGTCCAAATTTAGCACTTTCTACCTCGAGTTTTTTTAATAATTTAGTAATTTCTTCTGGAGTAGAGGCTAGAAGTGTAGTGTCGTCTGCGAAACGCAAGTTAGATATCTTAACACCACCTAGGTTTTTATCAAAAAAGTCGGTAAAGTAGTTGATGTTTTTATAGAGATCTAGAAATATAAAAAGGTATAGAAGTTTATGAAAAACCACAGGAAAATATCAAGACAAGTAGCATACATAAGTATAACCTTATATAGTTCAGATCGAAGATGCCTAGGCGGGAAAAGAGGTCCAGGCTAAACATCCTGGCTTAAAAAAAAATAGAATTGCCAATATTGGATAGCCAAGATTGATATTCTTTTATAGTTAGTAATCGTACAGGAAGCAAAAGAAGACAAAATGTAAAATGTAAGGAGCAAATATAAAAGGGAAATTTGGCCAAATACTTAGTCCAGGAACAATTTTAAATACAGCTACTAAATTGTAATATCTTTATAAAGTTTTTAAAAAAATAAACATCCCTAATCATTAAAAATATTGTTAATCTTACAATTAGTACTCACCAGTTTAAACATTTTGATTTTAATGTATTGATAGACTTGGAAGACCAATAAATTTTATTAGATACCTTTTAAAAATATTATTGTTTATTTATACTATTTTTATTAGATCAATATATTGCAGGTGGGGTTACTAACCTTGCCAAAATACTCTTGATAGTATAATTATTATTATCGAATTACTGCATAGAAGGAAGAAGGTGAAGTATTGTTCTGCATAATAATCTTCACACGGTGGTCATCAATGTAGGTCTAGGTCGACAGTATTTGGATTATCTTGATTATCTTATCAGTAATTCAAGCAATTAACCATCGATTAATTAAAGAAAAGAATGACACGGAAAATTTTAGAATTAGAATAATTATTTGAAAGTTATTATGGTGCCTTAAATTACAAACATCGTTAACAAATTCCTGGAAGAAATAAATTATTATTTAAAATCCTTCCTTCTTCTTCTTCAAGTGCCGTCTTCGTTCCGAAGTTTGGCTATCATCAAAGCTATGCGTATTTTTGATGCTGCAGATCTAAACAGTTGGTAATTGGTGCAATTGTACCATTCTCTCAAGTTTTTCAACCATGAATGCCTTCTTCCTTCTATAGATCTCTTTCCCATTATCTTTCCCTGTATAATCAATTGCAGCAACTGGTATTTATCTCCCCTCATAACATGTCCCAAATATTGTAGTTTGCGCTTTTTAACAGTAAGTATCAGCTCTCTCTCTTTCCGCACTCTCCGCAAAACCTGCACATTTGTTACTTTCTCTGTCCAGGGTATTCTTAATATTCTACGATACATCCACAACTCAAATGCTTCTATCTTTTTGGTATCGATCTTTTTCAATGTCCATGTTTCCATCCCGTAGAGGAGAACTGACATAACGTAACATCTCAAAAGGCGAATTTTAAGTTTTAGACTTAGATCTCTTCCGCAGAACACCTTTTTCTTTTACTTTTAGTAAATGTGGCTCTAGCTTTCCCTATTCTGGTTCTGATTTCTTCAGAGCAATCATTATTTTCATTGATAACAGTTCCCAGGTAATTATATCTTCTTACACGTTCGATTCTTTGATCATGCACGGTTATGTCAAGGAAGTTTTGTGGTGATTTAGATATTAGCATTATTTTTGTTTTGCTTATGTTAAGTGATAATCCGTGTTCTTCACTGCATTCTACTATTTTGTTAATTAGTATTTGAAGATCTTCCCAAGTTTCTGCGATTAGTACCGTGTCATCGGCATATCTCAAGTTGTTTATTCGGATGCCATTTATCTTAATACCTATATTTTGATCCGAAAGTGCTGTGTTTATAATGTCTTCGGAGTATAGATTGAATAAGGTCGGTGAGAGTATACAACCCTGTCTTACACCTTTCTTGATCTCGATTTCCTCCGTTGTCTCTTGCTCTATTCGGATATTTGCTTTCTGGTTATAGTAAATTTTAGAGATAATTCTAATGTCCCTTTTATCCAAGTTTTTTTCTACTAGCAGTTTCATTAAGTGATCGTGACGAACTTTATCAAACGCTTTGTTGTAATCAATAAAGCACATATATATATATATATATATATATATATATATATATATATATATATATATATATATATATATTGGTTTATATCTAGACATCTTTGGCATATGACGTTAAGTGCAAATAGTGCTTCTCTTGTTCCAAGCCCGTTCCGAAATCCGAATTGAGTATTACTAATATCTGCATCTAGCTTTCTGTTAATTCTTGAGTGGATTACTTTGATGAATACTTTTAATGTATGCCCCATTAAGCTTATAGTGCGGTAGTCAGTGCACTGTTTTGCATTTGCCTTTTTTGGTAAGGTTACAAAAGTTGAAAGTAGCCATTCCTTTGGTATTTCTCCTCTTTTGTAGATGCAGTTAAAAAGGTCGAGTAGAATATTCATTGATTCGCCTTCCACAAGCTTAAGAAGTTCTGATGTGAGCTCGTCTGGACCCGGTGATTTACCATTTTTCATTATTTTTGTAGCGTATAATAGTTCTTCTTTAGTTATTTCTGGTCCTTCGTAGCCTTGCAAGTTATCTACATTAGGTTCTTGTCTTTCATCGTCGAACAATTCTTCTACATAGTTCTTCCAGGTCCTAAGCTTTTCTTGTAGATCGGCTATTATTTCACCATTTGCGTTGCATAGGAGATTGGGATGTTTTCGTTTTTGTGTACCTGTCAGTTCCTTTATCTTTTTATGTAAGTTAAAAGTGTCATGTTTGAGATGTAGTTCTTTGATTTCCTCGCATTTTCTTGTATAAAATTTTCCTTTGCAGTTCTTATTTCTTCTCTGATTTGTTTGTTTATTTCATTATATTTTTGGCTGCATTTTCCCTTTAACTGTCTTCGCTCTTCCATGAGACCTAAAATTTTTTTTGTTATCCATTCTCGTCCTTTTTTCTGTTTCTCTTTGGTAAGCATTTTCTGGGCAGGTTTTATTATGGCGTCTTTTAAATCTTGCCACTTGTCTTCTACATGCGTGTTCTCAGTCTTTGTAGAATGCATTCGTAAGTTATCATTGATATGTTGTTTTAAATCTTCTTTAATTGTTGGATCTTGTAAGCGGCTGGTATCTATGTGATCTATTTTTGTTTTATTTGAAGGTCTTTTGAGTCTAATGTGTACCCGCGCTAACAGGGGGTTATGATCTGAAGAAACATCTGCGCCTGGATAAGCCTTAACTGATCTTATACAGTTTTTGTATCGCTCATTTATTAAAATATAATCTATCTGATTCCTAATTGTTTTTTCCCTAGTGTGTTGAGGGGACGTCCATGTGTACAGTCTTCGTTTGGGTAGCTTAAAGAATGTATTTGAAATTATCATATCATTCTCTTGACAGAACTCTAAAAGTTTGTCTCCTCTGTCGTTTCTTGCCCCTAAACCATATTCTCCCACATTTTTCCGCTTTTTCCTTTGCCAATTTTTGAGTTAAAGTCTCCAAGGATAAGTGTAACATCTTTTGGCTTTGTAGACTTTAGAACTTGATTTATTTGTTCATAAAACTACTCAATCTCTTCATCTGATTTATCTGCAGTAGGGGCATATACCTGTATAATACTAAGTTTTGCAGTTTTTGTATGCAGTTGTAGGAGCAGGATCCTGTCTGACTCTGGCGAAAAATTAGTGACAGACTGTGTCATTATTCTTGAAACGACAATTGCTACACCATATCTGTGATGTGGGTATTCATTTCCTGAGAAATAGATCATACCGTTGCTTGTCGAGACGTTGCCTGCAAACGACCATCTTGTATCGCTGATGCCTAGGATATCGATGTTTAATCTTTGCATCTCCTGTATAACATTGTGAATTTTCCCAGGCTCGTACATGCTTCTGACGTTCCATGTACCAATATTTACTGTATTTTTAATACAGGGATTTCGCAGAATTACGACCTGAGAGGCCCCGTTGTCATGAAGTATACCTCTCCTGCCGGATCTTGGTATCCGGTATCCATGATCAGTACTAGAAATCATTTCGCTTCGCACAGCCATGATAATTTTACTAGAAAAAAATCCTTCCTAAAAAAAGTATATAATTAAAAAACCCAATCGGGGTATATCACAATCACAAAACGTTTTCGGAATCTTTATTCCATCATCAGTATACCTAGACACACTGATGATAGAATATAGATTCCGAAAACGTTTTGTGATTGTAATATACCCCTATTGGGTGTTTTAATTATATATCTGTATATAGCAGACTGTAGCTTAATCTCCTCATGGCATGGCCACAATATTCAAGTTATTTTTTATTAGTTTGAACGACTTCCACTCCTGTTTCCGTTTTGTCACTTATCCATTTATGTCTTGTATATTGCATGCTCTTCTTATGTTTTCGCTTCTTTCGCTATCCAACAGACTTTTTCCTGATACTCGTGGGAGCATTTTTATCTCTGCTGTTTCTAGTAGTCGTCTCGTTTTAGATTTGTGAGGTCTTGTTGCCGCCGTTTATGTTAATATAGGTCTAATTGCTGCTTTACAGATTCTTATTGTTGTGTCTTGTCTTAGGTGTTTGTTCTTCCAGATTGTGTTATTAAGAAATCTCCGCTTTACTTTCTTTTGAGCTTTGTTGTCGTACTTCTTCTTCAACATCTGCGTAAATAGTTATCTATTCTCATATGTCTAAACCTTGCTTTCTGCTTTATTATTTTCACACCAATTTCGATTTTACATCGTAGTGGGTATTTAGATGTTGTCATATATTTGGTTTTTTCTGCTGAAATTATTATATTGTATTTCTTGGCTGTTGCATTGAAGATGCTAATCTTTGGAGCTCGTCTTATGTCTCGGCGATTAATGCAGCGTCGTCTGCATAACATAATATTTGGAATTCTTTATTCCCTATTCCGTAGCCATGACCTTTAGGTACTGCTTGTATCATTTTGTCCATTATTATATTAAAGAGAAGTGGGCTTAAGTGAGTCACCCTGTCTGACTCTGCTTTATACTGGTAAACACAGTGTTAGTTTTCCATTTATCTTTGTCTGTATTCGATTATGGAAGTAGATGTTTTGGATGGTTTGTATAACATTGATTGGTATGTTTCTTTTAAACAGTAGGTGTAAGACGTCTTCAACTTGGATGTGATCGAAAAACTTTGTTAGGACTATAAAACATAGTTATGCTGGTTTATTGTACTCGATGGCCCTTTCTGTGATTTGTCTCAGTATAAATGATCCGGCATCTACACAGGATCTTACGGATCTGAATCCTTGTTGCTTGTTAGTTTATTGATTTTGTTGGTTAGGACTTTTTTGGTAAGCTTAAGTGCGGTGTTTAGTAGATTTATACCTCTGTAATTGTTGGAGTCTTCTTTTTCTCCTTTCTTGGATATTGGTATCATTATGCTCTTTTTCATGCGTCTGGTATCTTGCAGTGCAATATTAGTTTTTATATAAGTATTGTCAATTCTAAGGTTATACTTTCTTCTGCGTGTTTAAGAAGCTTAAAAACGGATTTCTATTTCGGTTCTTATTTAAGGTACGTTATTGTG